CAGCCATCATTGTTGTTTGGCGGGTCCGGGCTGGGGATTCAAACCCGCCACCTTAGGTGTACGTGGCTGGTGCCTTAGCCTGTTGAGCTATAGGTGCCGAGCCAATTAACTTATTTTTTGAGACAGGGTCTCACTCAGTCGTCTTGGGGTTGAATGTCATGGCATCATAGCTCACAGCAACCTCAAATTCTTGGGCTCAAGTGATTCTTTTACCTCAGTTTTCTGAGTAGCTGGATCTACAGGTGCCCATCACAACACTCGCCTATTTTTTTTAGAGACGGGATCTTGCTCTGGCTCAGGCTGGTCTCTAACTCCTGAGCTCAGGCATTCCACCTACTTCCACCTCCCAGAATGTTAAAATTACGGGCATGAACTACTGTGTCTGGCCTAATTAATTAATTTATTTTGAGACAAAGTCTCACTCCATTCCCCAGGCTGGAGTGCCATGGTGTCAGCCTAACTCACAGCAACCTTAAACTCCTGGATTTAAGCAAGCCTCCTGCCCTAGCCTCCTTTATAGCTAGGACTACAGGTGCTTACCACAAAGCCTGGCTAATTTTTCGGGTTAAATTTTCTATTTTTAGTAGAGATGGGGTCTTGCTCTTGCTCAGGTTGGTCTCCAACTCCTGAACTCAAGGATCTTCTTGCCTCAGCTTCCCAGAGTGGGACTACATGTGTGAGCCACCATGCCTGGCCTATGTTGTCGATCTTTTTAAAGAACGAGGTTTTGGTTTTACTAACTTTCTTCATTGTTTTCATTTTTTTCAATTTCAGTGACATCTGCTCTAATTTTTAGTATATTTTTTGGCTTGTTTTAGGCTAAATTTTTCTTCTTTTTGTTGGTTTCCTACAGTAGAAACTTAGGTTATTGATCTTTTTTTCTTTTCTAACATATACATTCAGTGGTAAACATCCTTCCCTAAGCACTGTTTTTGTTGCATCCCACAAATTTTGGTAGATTGTATTTTTACTTTTTTTTCCTTTTTATTTGCAGTATTTGGCTGGGGCTGAGTGGAGCCCCAGCACATGGGGCCAGGGTGCTATTCCTTTGAGCCACAGGCGCTGCCTGGTAGATTATAATTTTAATTCATTCAAAGTATTTAAAAGCTAACCTTGAGACTTTTTTGATCCATATGCTGGTTAGAAATATATTGTTTAATCTCCAGTGTTTTGAGTTTTTCAAGCCGTCTTCTGTTACTGATTTCTAGTTTAATTCCATTGTAGTTTGAGACCATACTTTGCACAGTATCTGTTCTTACAGATTTGTTAAGGTATGTTTTATGGGCAGAACCTAGTTTATCCTGGTGACTGTTCTATGAGAGCTCGAGAAGAGTGTGTTTGGTTGCTGTTGGATGGACTATTCTGTAAATGAGGATTAGATGAGGTTGGGTGACAGTGCTGTTCAGGTCACCTGTATACCCACTGATACTGTTTGCTGGCTGTGTCAGTTAATGAAGAAAGGGTGTTGCTGATTGTGCTCTGGCTCCCTTGCAGCTCGTCAGTCTGGCCTCTTGTGCTCTGATGCTCTGTCGTAGGGGCGTAGTGGCCCAGAGACTGCTGGGTCTTCTTGGACTGCTGGCCTCTTCTTCATCAGGCCAGGCTTAGACTGGATAGTTTTCTTTATTCTGGAATCTGCTTTGTCTGAAATTACTATGGCTACTCCACCTTCTTTCATTAATGTTTTCATGTTGCTTTTCTGTCCCTTTCCTTACAGTCTGTCTGTGTTTTTATATTTGAAGTGAGTTTTCTATAGGTAGAACATAATCGAGACTTTTTTCTGTTTTCCATTCTGACGATTGCTGTTGGTGTTCTTAGACCATTCGCATTCAAAGCGCTTATTGATGTAGTTGGATTAACATCTGTCATGTTTGTTTTCTGTTTTTTAACGTGTTCTTCATTTCTTATCCCCCCTTTCTGTGTTCTCTAGTTTTATTTGAGTATTTTATCTCCTCTTTTTAACATATCAGTTATGCTTCTTTAAAATTACTTTCAGTGGTTATTCTAGAGTCTGCAGTATACATTTTTAACTAGTCAAAGTCCACCTGTGAATAACCCTGTATTGCTTCACACATAGTGCAGATACCTCAGATTCAGAATATTTTTTTTTTTTTTTTGAGACAGAGTCATTCTGTTACCCTGGTTAGTGTGCAGTGGCATCAGCTACTCACAGCAACCTCAAACTCCTGGGCTCAAGCGATCTTTCTGCCTTGGCCTTCTGAATAGGGATGTCTGAGTTACTAAATGAGCCTGACAAAGAACTTTGCTTACAAATAATCTTAAATTATATTAGAACAAAAATATTATATGCTCAGAGTGACACATTTAGCAGGTATGTTTTTCTATTGCCTCTGCTGTTGAGGTTATTGACATGAGGCATGTCCGAGTGGTGGAAATGTTATGTAACGGTGTCCTAACAAATTTCATGCTCAGTGGTATTACATTGATAGTTTAAAAATGGCCACAGAGAAGTATTTAAACCATGAAAATTGGCAAACGTTACAAATAGTCCCACCCTACTCCATGTACTCCAAACCCCAAGCCAGTCAATTAATATTTACCAGCATATCACTGACCATGATTACTGTTTTAAATACTTGTCTGGTTTTGCTACAAGACTGTGAGTTCCTTGAGGTTTGGAACTTACATCCCTAGTATCCGGCACGGTGCTTGTAGTATAGTTGACAGACAAATATTTTTATTCGTTTAGTCCTTGATTCAAATCCTGCCTATTTGGGTGACCTCGGTTATTTTAACCTGTGTTTATTGGTAAGATGGGAATAATAATGCCAGCCTTTCATGATTGTTGTGAGGATTTATGAAAAGACCTGGGCATAGTAGGTGCAAAAAAGCAGTTGATTGTTATTTTTATAACCTAAGAAGTAGACATAAATGCTATTAGGGCCCAGACAAATACTGTGTGTAGAGCTTTGTATAAGTTGTGATCACAAACTGGGTGTGAGTCAGGAATGTGGCACTGTTATTTGTGTGTGTACATACTCTCCTTCCTGTACAGAATAATGGGATAAATTAAAAGGAATATGATATGTAAGAGGCAGGAAGTAACCCCTCTGTTATATTTGGCTTTGCTCAGACTCTCATGACGGTATCCTGTCCAGTTTACATTGCTCATTTTAAAGAGGATGTCAACAAGCTCTATGTAGTATGTCTTGGGAAGAATCAACTATGATTAAAGGGGCAAAAAAATAGGCCCTTTGAGGAAAGCTTAAGGAACTGAGTTTGTTTACTCTAGAAAAGAGATGGTAACGGAGTTACTTAACAATCTTCCAGTATATGAAAGGTGATTATAAGAAGGATACTGTCAAGTTGTTCTGCAAATGTGCAGAGGACTAAAAGAGGAAATCGACATTTCATTTAAAGAAAATTGTGCTATCAAGTGATGTCATAGAATCTCCATTTTTGAAAATATTTAAAAAGAGTAGCAGCAGATTGTTATTTACTGAAAAGTTTCAATATTTGACCTCATGAAAGTGAGAGCTGGGATTGTCGGCCTTGCCGCCTCTCTACTTTGGTAACGTGATGTTCTTTCATTTACTGTAACTTACTACTCATATTACGGGTCTCTACTGAGAAATCACTTAGAATTTTGATGAAATTGCATTTTATCCTAATTGCTTGATTTATCTTGAATGAAAGCATTCAGTGTTATGTATCTGCTAGTATCTAATTTAAATTGGCATCAATACATACGCAAAACACTCCACATTTGTAATTTTATTATCTTATTTGACATATCTGAAGCATTACTCAATCTTTTGTTTTAAGTAGCGCCTTACAAGTATTCTATAATTCTTTTGTGACAGGGGGTCCTTTTGGTATATGATATTACAAATCATCAAAGCTTTGAGAATTTGGAAGATTGGTATACTGTGGTGAAGAAAGTGAGTGAGGAGTCGGAAACTCAGCCACTGATTGCCTTAGTTGGAAATAAAAGTAAGTTGCTCCTGCTTACTTATGGATAGTAAAATTTATTTGCTATTGCAGACTGAATGTCTATGTCAGTCACTGATTCACAGGTTGGAACCTCAGTCCCTAATGTGATGGCCTTTGTGGGGTAGGTAGGGCATGAGAGCCCTCATGAATGGAAGACAAACAGGAGAGAGATAACTCCTCTCTCTGCCTTGCCCCTGAGCCAGAAGAGTGCTCTCCTTTGATGCTGAGACTGCCGGCACCTTGATCTTGAATTTCCCAGTCTTCAGAACTGTGAGAAACAATGTTTGTTTTCCAAACCACTAGTCTATGGGCATTTTGTTATAGCAGCTTGAACTGAGAACTTACTAACACATTTGCCTATCCTGTAGTTTTTATGTCTGAAAAAAGAAAAAGATTTTTTAATTTGGAAATAGAAAATTCCTAAAGGTGTATACAGTCTTTTCAATTACTCTTTTGATGCTTGATCTATCATAACTACTCTGCTGCTTTGGCCAGTTCTTATAAAGGTAAATTCAGTGCTGAAAGTGTGTTTGGCTTCCTGTGGTCTGAGTAAGCAGCATGGGCTATTATGGACAGGGACACAGCCACAAATTCCATGATATTGTGCTGCAGTTTGAGTTCTGCCCCAGAGGTTTAAAGAGATAGATTTCATTAAATGGCCCTCTATTTTAGGGAAGGAAGTGGTGTCTACATGGAATTTCATAAAAATTGTTCCTTGCTCCTATCTCTTATAAACTTTTTCTGAAATTTTGGGGTTTGTTCTAAAATATAGATAATTCTTTTTGAAAAAGAGTGTATTATGTTCAGGAGAGGGGCATTTCCTGGTAAAAATTATAGATAAGTAATTGTTAAGATCCGTCTCTTAAGCTATGGTATATAGCATATAAAAATCATAAAATAAACCCAGTACATGGTTGTAATTTGGTTCATAGTTCTGCAGTGCTGTAACTTGGAAAGGAGACAGTAACTGTTTTCAAATACAGTCCCTTGCCACGTAACAGTGGGGATACATGGTTAGGGGTTCTGCTGCTGTGCTGACATCATAGCGTGTGCTAACACAGACCTAGGTGGGGTAGCCCATGACACTGCAGCCCGGTGTTCCTAGGCTGCAACCTGGACAGTGTGTTGCTGAACACTATAGGCATTTGTACCACAGTGGCATGTATGTGTCTGAACCTAGAAAAGGCACAGTAAAAATACAGTATGAAAGCTCTGTTATAATTTTATGGGATCATATCATGCGTGCCTGTGCATTGTGGTGGAAACATCATTATGTGGTGTGTCACTGCATAGAGAGTATTCTGACGTGGCCTGATCGTCTATAACTTAGCTGAGGTCCAAAAAACAGAAAATGAATTCAAATTATACCAGGAAAATTTATATACAAAATTATTTTCTGATGATAATTACCGTTAAGTAAGTACCTACTTATACTACCATGGGAATTATCTTCTCCAAAGGTCTTTAAAAATATAGTTCTTCTTTTTTCTGTTACAAACAGTGCTTCCTAATAGACCAAGCCTGGATTTCTGTGTTATGTGTTTTCACACACTAAGATGAGCATTTAATAAATCCAATCCTTAATTTAAAACCATTATAAAACAGGCGGAAATGTTGTTTCTTTGAGGAGATAAAAATTCAGACATCATGTTCTCTAGAAAATAGTGCTATAATAGCACAGAATGGCATGGCTTGGGTAGAAATTCTGATTTGCTTTTTATAAAGCTTTAGTTATGTTTTGCTCATCTCTTTTATAAATAATTCTTTTTAATTGAGTGTATTAGATGAGTTTCAATTCATTGAAAATCCTTCTTTGGCTTGGCACCCGTAGCTCAGTGAGGAGGGTGCCGGCCATGTACACCAAAGCTGGCGGGTTCCAGCCCAGCCCTGGCCTGCTAAACAACAATGATAACTGCAACAAAAAGTAGCCGGGCATTGTGGTGGGCACCTGTAGTCCCAGCTACTCAGGAGGCTGAGGCAAGAGAATCACTTAAGCCTCGTTTGAGATTGCTGTGAGCTGTAATGCCATGGCACTCTACCAAGGGCAACATAGGGAGACTTTGTCTCAAAAAAAAAAAAAGAAAGAAAAGAAAATCCTTCCAGTTATGATGACTGTAAGTTCTGTATCTGGGGGCACATGTCCTTTCAGGAGGTGGTCCTTGGTTGGGGGCTGTGTGAAACTGTGCTCAGATCAGGGCTGAGTGTGTGCTGTGCTGTGGGTTTCTTAGCACTGTAGGGGGCTGCCCAGAAGAGGGGGAAGGCTTGGGATTTATCTTCAGTTCATTCAGTGGTTATATTTTAACCACTATTTGGAACAAAGGTATAGTGGTGTATAATTATGTACATCTTGCCATCCTGTGAGACATCCACTATTGTCACCATCAAGGATAGGGGTCAGGCTGATGGGCTGTTGGGCTGGGCTAGGGTTGCCGGACTTCACTTTTAAAAACAACTCAGGGCAGCACCTGTGGCTCAGTCGGTAAGGCGCTGGCCCCATATACCGAAGGTGGCAGGTTTGAACCTGGCTTCGGCCAAACTGCAACAAAATATAGCCCTTGGGCAGCACCTGTGGCTCAAAGGAGTAGGGCGCTGGCCCCATATGCTGGAGGTAGTGGGTTCAAACCCAGCCCCGGCCAAAAAAAAAATAAAATAGCCGGGTGTTGTGGCGGGCGCCTGTAGTCCCAGACACTTAGGAGGCTGAGACAATAGAATCACCTAAGCCCAGGAGTTGGAAGTTGCTGTGAGCTGTCTTATGCCATGGGACTCTACTGAGGGTGATAAAGTGAGACTCTGTCTCTACAAAACCCCCCCCAAAAACCTATTCATATAAGTTGTCTGAATTTATGCATGAAATTAATACAACATGTGTTTGGAATTTAATAGCCTGAAGTCAAGAGCTTTTTTACTTTTGACTTAGCTGTAACCTCTTTCTTGTATGTATTTGTAATACCCCCTTTCAGAGTGAGATCATGTGACAGAGCGAGCAGTCACACAGAATGGTATGTGTAAAACCAAGAGATTATAGGTGAATATTTTCCTGGATATTATTACTGCATAATCTGTCACTGGCCCAATTTCATGTTATCACGTAATCAGAGATCCTTCTGTAGTTAAGCCTATTAGGGCTTTAACTCTGAGTCTCCTGACTATTTTATGATTTCTGTTTTCAAATTGATACTATATGAGTATAGCATAGTAGTATGTCTCATTTTCTTTTAGACTGATATAATTATATTAAAAAGCAATAAAATTAACAAACACTGCTTTATGCTGTTGTAAGGAATAGCTGAGCCTGGCGGTTTATAAGAAAAGAAGTTTATTTGCTCATAGTTCTGCAGACAGTAGAAGAGTTGTGGTGCCAGCATTTGCTTCTGGTGAGGACTCTAGGGAACTTGCAGTCAGAGCAGAAGGCAAAGCGGTATGTCACATAGCAAGAGACGCGTGGGAGGGAGGAGAGGCCAGTCTCTTCCAAACAACCAACCCCTGGGTGAACTAATAGCATGAGAACTCACTTACATTACCTTGCGGAGGGCACCAAACTCCAAATTGGAGATCAGATTTCAACATGGGATTTGGATGGGACAGAAAGCCAAACTATTTCAGTGTATTACACTAATCGTTGAGAATTTGTTCATAGATTGAGTCAAAGAGAATCCTAAGGAACGATTAGGAGCTGCCAACCTAGGTCTTAACTTTATTCTTTTTCTCAGGTGTTTTTAAGTCCTCTAAAAATCTGACTGCCTTTCTTTTTCTCTGGTTGTTGAGATTAATCAATACAGTTATAGATGTTGGCAAATAAGTCTGACTAAAAATACCTAAAAGGACCAAGGCAATGAACAGATGGCGAGAGTGTTGAAGGGAGAGTGCTGGAGCATAGTGGGGTGGAGAGGCTGCATGGAGGCAGCTGGGCTCTGCAGCCTCGTCTCCTCTAGATCAGACTGGTTCAGAGAAAGGATGAAAGATGAGCAGAAGAACCCCCAGAGCAGTTAGGCAAGAAGCAGGACTAATGGGCCTCCAAGGTGGAAAGGAGCATGTCAGCTGTTCCTGTGTGCAGATGACATGCTCAGCTACAAAAAAAAAAAAAAAAAAAAAAAGAGAATACCTAGGAATAAATGTAACCAAGGAAGTAAAAGACCTCTATAAGAAAGTCTGCAAAACACCCTTGAAAGAAATTTAGGAGGATATGAACAAATAGATATACCTTGTTCATGAATTAGAAGAATTAGTATTGTTAAAATGATCTTACAACCCAAAGCATTCTGTGGGTTGAATTAATCCCTAACAGTATACCAACAACATTCTTCATAGAAATATAAAAAATCTTAAGATTTGTGTGGCACAATAAAATAGTCCGCATACGGTCCATGTAGTCCTGCAAGCAGAATAAAGCCGGAGACATCACACTACCAGACCTCAAAGTATGGTAGAACCTCCATAGTTGACTATTTCCTTAAGTTGACCTAATTTTCATATAGACATATGCATTTATCAGTACAGTAGGCCCTTATGTTGATCTCTGTATGTGAACTAGTTTGTTACAGTGCATGGGGTGGTCAGCTTACAGAGGTTCTACTGTACAGTACGAAGTAGCATTAACCAAAACTGCATGGTACTGGTGTAAACCATGGGCACATGACAGCAGAGCAAATAGAGACCTCAGAAGTAAATCCATTCACCTACAGCCAACTGGTTTTTGACAGAGGTGTCAAGAACGCTCATTGGTAAAAGGACAGTCTCTAATAAATCATGCTGCAAAAACTTGATATTCTTTTGTAGAAGAATTAAACTAGGCCCCTGTCTCTCCCCTATCCAAAAATCAACTCAAAATGGATCCAAAACCTAAATGTAAGACCTAGAACTATAAAACTAGTACAAGGGGACATAGAGTTTATGAAGAAGAAAGACCTCAATGCTTTAGGACATTAGCCTGGGAAAGTATTTTATGAATAAGAAAGACTTGAAGAATACAAGCATCAAAAGCAAACAGTAAACAAATGGGA